TTTCTATCCTATATAAGTAATTATATGGTGCACGGGAAGTATTTTTAGGTAACCGGACACATGCGGCCTATAATTCATTTCAACAGGCTCTTAGACAATTGAATACACGCTACTACTTAATTATATCAAATACTTAATACTTTTATTCAAATAATTAATTAATAAGAACCGAACCAAGTAAGTTATGATTACAAGTTAATATATGAAAATGACACTAAAAAACAGTAKAGAAAAACTCGAGATTTACTATCAATATATATTTAATATATATATAATGTTACAATGTATTCGCCTAGAATGAACATTCAYCATTTTTGCATGGTTATCACTTTATAATTTATGGCTGAAACGGTGAAGATTAAAAAATYATTTTCAATGGTTTATTTGTTACGAAACACGGTCTGAGTGATGTATGATGTATAAAAATATGCTCGTTAATCTGAAAATTGTTGATTAAGACAMWKATCAATTATTGTTCAGTATATTATAATAATTTTGATTTAATTCATAGATCGTAAATATCTCATTTACGCTTCATTCAAAAAATGATTTGCATAGTTTTTATTAATGACCATGGCTTAAGTTATGAATATTCTTATGAGATTAAAAAAAAATTAGATTTTCCTATCTATTCGTTTAACATTATAATGTTRTAATGTAGTGCTTTGAGCTTTGAAAGAGGAAGTAAAAATTTAACGATTAATAATAYTAAAATCAGMATTTTCCATTATTTTTTTTTCTTTTCGTTCCACTTAATACAACTTAACTATTGTACAGTGCATGCATGCGTGCTATATTTTTTTTTTTTGGAACAAGAATACAATAATTTTACAATAATTGATATTTTCAATAAACAATATTGTAATTATTAAAAGAAAAAAAATAATACAGAACATTTAATTTATTATTATGTTATAGTATGACATGTACATTGTATAACCATTGATTAATTCTGGGGTTTTAAGAATACATTGTACCTTCGTGTGTTGTCTCCATCATACTATAACACATAATATATCAAAATATACGTCCAGTAGTTCAAATTTACGATCACGTGTATTTTTTTAATCGCAAATACATGAATTATAGAGCAGGTATGTTATTGAGTGCCAGAAGGTTCTATTTTGATGTATTATGTTGAATAAAAAATAAAAAACAAATATACCTATCATTTGACGAAAAAAACTAAAAACTATAACYATCGAAATGCAAATAGTTACTTATACATTTTAATATAGGACTGAGTTATGCAACCGATTTGTATAACGATCCCACAAAATTGAACGGTAAATATAACGAGACTACCGCGCCAAATTAAATGAATACTAATTTTTGGTCATTAATAAACAATTTTATGATTTTACACTATACAAGTACTCTACATCACATTCATCTATTAATTATTATAAATTGTACATAAGTATACTCATCTTAAGCTAGTGTGCTGGTTTAAGACAGACTGGACAGAATACATATAACATACAAAATATAACTTAATATCGGACGTTATCCTTTACCTTATCAAGTTATAAAGACGTGTTGCCATTGGCATCGGCTGCTTTTATCGTGTACTTATGTAAAGCTTTATTATATATTTTCATATGTATACTTATTGTAATTTTACAGATTATATGCTTTAAAAAAAATAAAAATAAAAATATTATTATAATCTTTTATCGAACGTCTTATATTTTTTGCGAAAGTATTTTCCTAACTATATGTAAACATTTTTTTACACACAATCAATTTGTTATTTCACATATGTATGTGTATACACGTGCGTAAATAACATTATTGCGTTCSAGTTGTTATTACACTAATACATTGCACTTGTCGATGACATCTACAATAATGTCTTAACACAGATGTATAATTATTATAGCCTATAGGTACAAATACACAACATATGTTATATTGTATACCCACCGTAAGAATACGTGCACCTACACATGGATCTACATTTTACATAATTTTAATGCTTGATCGATAATAGTTACACGCGTGATCGACGTTCAGTGGCCGGTGCACACACCTAGTTTTATGTTTAGTAGCTGGAGAGCCGAGAGGTACCTTTAATAGTATATATATAGGTAATACCTATATACCTACTTCTAAAATCTTTTTGCCGATTTCGATAAATCGATATCGCAATTTCCGTTCGATTAAACATTGTTTTTTAGATTCTGAACGAAATGATGAATGTATTGATTTTACAATGATGTATGTTTTTTTTGTGTCTGTGTACAGCATAACTAGTCGAAATAATGCTTCGATTTCAAACTTTGGGGGTGGTTTCCGATGTAAAATTGAAGATCCTTGGTGCA